TGAATAATCCGCTGGCTTGTAGAATGTTTTGAGCGGGATTCGAATTCGAGTCGTCTTATGCCTTTGGGGTCGTGTGGATTAGGAATTAGCCCATTTTCTGAAAGATAGGCAAACAGCAGTCTGTCCGACTCAGCTGGTTCTTGCTCACATGCCAATGATGCAATGAGAAAGCGGGCGTGGCTATTTAAATCGACATCATATACTCGCAAATGAAGATTTCCGCAGACTCATTCCTACCTGTAGCACGTCCGGTGTAGACACGTTTGCTGTATTCGCCATACTTTTTTTGAGTGGAATATCAGAAATGGTGATCTGCATCCGTCTCAATCATCTAACCCAGTGGATACCAAAGATTTCATAGTCGCAGCGCCCTTTTTCAATTAAAATTTTTCCATGGCGCCCTACTCTTAGTGTGAATATTGGTAAGTAAGCGATAAAAATAAATAAAAATCGTGTATCTTTATTAATTTTTTTTTCACTTAATTAATGTTTAACAATTCATGTGATGGATGAGCCTGCAAATCACTGCACATGTTCTCAAATTGAAGCTTTTACAATATTTTGCGGTGCCCTTATAAAGAGGGGTGCACACTTTGGGAACCAATGATCTAACCATAAATTTGCTGGTTACCAGGTCTTTGATTTTACAAATTAAATCTGCATCTGATCCTGTTCACGTGTTAATTTGAACGTTATCATAAAGTGCAAAAATAGTCATCCACATTTTAATTTCACTTTCATTTGTTTTACGATATATTCAGACAAAAGATAGGCAGGCATGAAGCATGAATGTTTATTGCAAGTTTAGGCTATGAAGCATAATTGCGATTTTAGCATAAAAAGTGAGCTTTGCTGTCGATTGTGATGGACGATTAATCAGTGTGCCTGACAAAGTTGCAAAAGTCTTGAGCAAGAGACGAGGAAGGGTGACCAAATTTTCGGAGCGAAAACGATATTCGGACAAGCATCGGTTGGGCTATGCCTAAATTGCGACGAAAGAAGCAGACCATAAAAGATTAGATAAGTCGGTTGATAGGAAACTTATGAGAAAAGCGCTAAGGTCTTAAGTGTAACTCAAGTAAGCGCCAAATTTATACACACTCATTTGAAACCCAAGAAGATAATCAAAATTGGGGATGGAACTGGATGTAGTATTTGATGAAATAATGTGCGATATCTCGAAAAGTTAGATGATCACTTTGATGGAGATCAGGAAGCTGGTACCTTGATCGACAGCGAAGAGTGATAAGAGGCGTCAAATAACCACAATAGAACTTCAACACAGCTTTGAGAACAGAAAAATGCTGTACAAAGTATCCCTTAATGATTGGATTTTGTTGGACCTTTCTTTTTCTGAAAGTTTGGCTGGATGGAATCGGTCATGACCGTCGAACGAGTCAACTACGTACCCTACTGCAACCCCGATTAATCCGTTTTAAGATTTATGGGTAGCTTGTGGCGTGAGAACAACCTTTCCAAAAGTTAACCTTTCGTCTGGCCAAGTTTTCTGGAATGCTTCAATCCTACTTATTGCTTGTAACTCAATTTTGCTGGATTGCCTCAATAAGATAGCAAAAACAGGTTATCGCAAGTAAAATGAATGGCAGCTGGTCACTCTATTGGATTAGATGATACGTGAATTTTGTTTAAAGTATGGTTTCCCAAACTGATGGCGTCTGTCTTGACGATACAAACTCAGCTGAGCCTGGACTTTTTTGCACAATTCATCAATCACTACTGTAATGCAATTTTGTTATGGTACAATAAGGACTAGTGCAACGAAAAATTCTGAGACTGCATGGAATCTAGCAGACATATCTAAAGTAGCAGTGTGAGAGATGCGAGAGTTAAGTCCTAAATACTCTCAAAAAAATAGATGCAGGAATTAGATTCCATCTTGTCACTAACATGAGTGACCAAAAGGACAACTTAAGGGTGATTTGTGCAACAATAGTTGGCATGAGGACAACTAAGCTGTCCGAAGCTATCCCACACTAAGTCATAAGAAAAATTGCTACAAAAGTAGCAAATAGTTCTCAGATGTTCAGTACCGATGGCAACACTAAACCCAACTATCCACGTTTTTAAATGACGAGCAACAGTGGACAAGGAATAGAAATGAAATCCTAACTAAAACCTGAATAAAAAATATAATGTATCTGCCATTTAATAAAAAGGTAAAAAGCCCTCTCAGCAGTGTTCAGGGACCCCAAGCTTCTTCAACCTACGCATCCAAAGACTCATCAAGCGAAACATGATGTAAGAGCTTAGTCACCCC